AAATAAAGATCATCACGATGCCTATGATTATCACGGTGGTAAGCACCACAAAAGTAACCATGGTAAGGGCTATCACGGCAATCACGAGCACGGCGGTCATTTCAATAAACACGGAGGTGGTGGACATCATAAGGAAGACGGAGGAAGTTGGAAGATGGGTGGACATCATCACAAATCAAACTTCGATCAAAATCAAGATGGAGGACACCATCACAATTCTCATTCTGAACACGGAGGACACGGAGGAGGCCATCAAGGAGGAGGAGGTGGAGGATATAGCAGTCACGGAGGATACGGTGGACACGGAGGACACGGAGGACACGGAGGACACGGAGGTCACGGTGGCGGATACGGTGGTCATCACGGTGGATACGGCCATCACTAATTTATTTTCGAAACAGTTTTTTAATACAAGAACCCTAGCGCAGTCGATCGATGTATATGTATTCGTTATATTATCAGCTCTTATGCTTTCATTGTGCTGCATGGTTGAAGAAAATGATACGTCTGCTACTTTTTAAAGAAGATTTAAAAAAGAAACTTCTCAGTCTTCTCAATCTAATTTGTTTTTGTATTTGATTGGAAAAAGAATATGGTGATAAGTACTTTACTGTTTGCATCAAATGCAAAATTATTGTTTTGTCCAATTTTTGGCTCAAAGCTTTGCTCATTATAAAAACACATATTTTTAAAGAAAAATAAAAGTATTTAAAATTTCAATAAAACATACGTGTTATATATTTATTTTATAACATTCAAATGATTATACATGTTTTTTTTTCAAAAATCCACGATGATACAAAAATTTGTAACTTTATTCTATTTTATTTTTTGTATGAGATATTAAATGTAGAGATTTGTAGCTTACAGTAACTATTGAATTATCTTTACTAGCAGAAGACAATTTATTGGGAAAATTTTCCTGAATGGCGCAGGAAGAACATTATGTTAAATAAAACAAAAGAAACTAAAGGATAGTAATATAATGTCTAGCAAAATGAAGAGAAAAACTGTTTACTTATTTTAATGGCGATAATAAAATTAAGCATATTCTTTCTTTCTAAGCATAGTCTTTTCCAGAACACAAAAGTTAATATTTTTTATAATATAACTTAATTTAAACCTTACACTTTCATCGTTATCAAGAAATCGAAGTGAGAATGGTTACATACTTTTCATGATGATTACGCTGTTAATTCCGGAAAGATTATTGACATGAGAAATTTACATATTTTGTTTGATTTTGTCGATCTAAATGTGTCACAATTTTATGATACAATTTACAACAATGTTGTTGTACAAGAATGTAGCGGAAGTGAGTCAGAATGAAAATGTTAGAAAACTGTTCGTTATGTTATTTGACGAAACACGACTTTTCTCTTTCCTTTCATTTACAGTTGATTATTTTAATTTTCTGCAGCGGTTTAAGAGATTTATTTTGTCAAGGTAAAGAGGATAGTGGACATTTTTGTATTTTCTTTCACTGTTTCATCTAGCATACACAGAGTATAAAACCGTATTGGTAAAGTTATATTCATTCAATGATTATTTGAGCCTCTTGGACCCTAGCCGCGACAATCTCCTTCCATTTTTCCCTGTCTTGTACCTCTTTTATCCATCCAGACAGTAAACCTATTTTTTGTAAATTTCCTCTCCTGTCCATCTTTTCATCGCACTGGAGACGTCTAACAGGTCCTTTACCCTGACGCTCCCGGTCAACACTTTGTATACATGTCGATTCGTGTCAGTGCGAGCTAAATGTGCTGCCAATCTGGTGCGTCTCTCGGCTATAGTTTGTATTATGTCATAGTCGTCAACTTTGCGATGTAATTCCTCATTGAGCATGTTTCTCCAAGTACCAGTTCTACTATCCCTCACGGATCCAAAGATCTTCGTGAGGATTTTGTTTTCAAACACTCGCAATTTGTGTTCGGTGACTCTGTGTACGGGACATGTTATATAATATTAAGTAATAGTTATTTAACAATACATATATAAACTTCATTTTCCAGTGTGTAATGACAAAATATCCAAATCTAGTTATTAAACCCAACTTAAACAGTTTCTATTCATTGATACTCGTTGGTATAGTACCGTTTTTTTCAGAATCGCCCAGGATTTTTGTGATTATCATTCACAGATTAAATTGAATATTATAAAAATGAGGTAAACTCAAAAATCATCACAACACAAAAAATCCTATTTTATGAAAATTGACATTTCTTGAATTTCAGTCACATTGGAAATCATCTCTTTAATTTTCTTATAAATTACAAATGCCCTAATAAAAATATTTGAATCATAATTTAAAAGCAATTTATTATCGCGACAGAATTTGTGATTTTATTTTATCTTAAATAATAATTTGACAAACAAAGACAAGTTATTTTAAACCTGCTGTAAACAGTTTATTATATTTTATTTAATAGTTTCGTGACAAAACACTTCTGATGTGAAATATGATTCCCTAATACATGAACACACCTGAATTCTACTTGACGAGTTTTTTCTCTTTATTCAAACGTTTTCAGCCTATTTTGGATAGGCCATCCTCAGGTTTTCCTTTAACGTTCCAAAATGGAACCATTCGTTCGAATTTTATTTTAATTTGAATTTTTGAAATAAGTTAACAACTTTTTGTATATTACATAAATAAACAAAATAAATAAAATAAAATAAATAAATAAATAAATAAAATAAAATAAAATATGTCACTACACGGGCTACATATTATCAAAAAATTAAATAACAAATTTTTACATGCGTCTAAATTATAATATAATAACTTCTTATAACCTCCAGTTCATATTTTATGGATTATTGAAACCCATAAATTTTTCTATTTTGTATTTCCATGCTGTTGGTAATGTATTTGCATCCTTTTCATTTAAACAGCGGTTCCTCATTTTACTTTTGTATATCTCTATTTTTTCCATTTCCATCGCGATAGATGGTGAGTGCACCGTTCTTATGATCTTCGCCTCATCCCATTTAACTATTGCTCCCTCCGCCTGTGCCATGCTTGCCAATATCATGCTATTGAGTCCTTTATTCACACTGTATTTGCGCTCTTTTATACGTACTGCAAGGTTTCTTCTGGTCACCCTTACATATTCTTTATCGACTCCTATTTGTTGGTTTTCATACGGGATAGTATACACCCCCGCTTGCTCTTCCATTCTTATTTTGTCCTTATCGTTCCTTAATAATCTATATATGTTGGGTGCTCGTTTGTAAATTATCTTTGTGTTTTTGTATTTTCCTAGCTCATCCACTAATTTTCTTCTTTGTTCATTGCATGTGAACTTGTTGAATGCAGTTATGTTGTTATGTGCTGTAGTTGTAGTTTTTTGTTTCCCATAATTTCTGATAAGGTCTTTGATTGTGAGCGTTTTGTATCCTAAACTCCTTGCTACCCTTTGTATTCTATCCATTTCCTTGTTACGGTCTTGCATATCGGTGCAGTACAAGAAGGTCCTCTCGATAAGTGCCTTAAATGCAGACATTTTATATGTATACGGGTCCTTCGACAATGAAGATACGACGTATGTATAACGGAGCATGTAACGGTTTTAAATGTACTGCCGTTCGTATATTTCCTAGTTTAAATTCCATGTCAATGTCCAAAAAATGGAGGTTTTTTTTTGGCATTTTTGTTCCAATTTTAGTTTCAAACCATGGTCATTGTTGTTAATTGCAGCCTGGAAATCATTAATCCGTTGGTGGTCTTTCCAAATTATCAATACATCATCCACGTACCGTTTGTATAATATGCCTCCCTAAGTTCATTAAAACTACAGTTCACATGGCATGGCAAAATAAGCTTATTCAAAATTTTGCCCTTCTTAACATAACCAGTCCTACAGCATTTAATTAACTATATAAGGCTAATTACTTTTCTAAAAAACCCATTGCCTCACTATCTGCAAGTTGTTTTGATGTAGTCATTCAAACTTAAAGTAAGAAGATATCGTAATTAAATATCGATTCGCTCATAAACGACATCAGTACGCATTTTTACAGGTGACTTGAAGAATTGCTGTTATTCGATGACACGATTGATGTCACTTTGGGATAAAATAAGCCGGGAATATGAAACATTTTGAAAAAAAAAACATAAACTTAGCATATAACATAGCAGTAAATGTTTTGTAGATATTTGAGTGACTTTGGCGTAACATGTTACTAATAATATAGTAATCACCATGAAAAGTATATAACCATTCTTACTTCGATTTCTTGATAACGATGAAAGTGTAAGGTTTAAATTAAGTTATATTATAAAAAATATTAACTTTTGTGTTCTGGAAAAGACTATGCTTAGAAAGAAAGAATATGCTTAATTTTATTATCGCCATTAAAATAAGTAAACAGTTTTTCTCTTCATTTTGCTAGACATTATATTACTATCCTTTAGTTTCTTTTGTTTTATTTAACATAATGTTCTTCCTGCGCCATTCAGGAAAATTTTCCCAATAAATTGTCTTCTGCTAGTAAAGATAATTCAATAGTTACTGTAAGCTACAAATCTCTACATTTAATATCTCATACAAAAAATAAAATAGAATAAAGTTACAAATTTTTGTATCATCGTGGATTTTTGAAAAAAAAAACATGTATAATCATTTGAATGTTATAAAATAAATATATAACACGTATGTTTTATTGAAATTTTAAATACTTTTATTTTTCTTTAAAAATATGTGTTTTTATAATGAGCAAAGCTTTGAGCCAAAAATTGGGCAAAACAACAATTTTGCATTTGATGCAAACAGTAAAGTACTTATCACCATATTCTTTTTCCAATCAAATACAAAAACAAATTAGATTGAGAAGACTGAGAAGTTTCTTTTTTAAATCTTCTTTAAAAAGTAGCAGACGTATCATTTTCTTCAACCATGCAGCACAATGAAAGCATAAGAGCTGATAATATAACGAATACACATACATCGATCGACTGCGCTAGGGTTCTTGTATTAAAAAACTGTTTCGAAAATAAATTAGTGATGGCCGTATCCACCGTGATGACCACCGTATCCGCCACCGTGACCTCCGTGTCCTCCGTGTCCTCCGTGTCCACCGTATCCTCCGTGACTGCTGTATCCTCCACCTCCTCCTCCTTGATGGCCTCCTCCGTGTCCTCCGTGTTCAGAATGAGAATTGTGATGGTGTCCTCCATCTTGATTTTGATCGAAGTTTGATTTGTGATGATGTCCACCCATCTTCCAACTTCCTCCGTCTTCCTTATGATGTCCACCACCTCCGTGTTTATTGAAATGACCGCCGTGCTCGTGATTGCCATGATAGCCCTTACCATGATTACTTTTATGGTGCTTACCACCGTGATAATCATAGGCATCGTGATGATCTTTATTTTTCTTGTGATGATCGCTATCGCGAAAGTTGTCGTGATAGGTTTTATGATCTCCGTGCTCTTCTTTATGATAAGTATTCTTAAATCCGTGGTTTTTGTGTCCCTGATCTTTAAGATAATGGTCTCCAGATTTGCTGCCATGCTTTTTGTGACCTCCCCATGCTTCGTTTCCATGACCTCCGTGATTATCTTGACCGGAATTACTATGGCCCGAATGCTGTTTGCCAAATTTATCATGATGGCGAGCACTTTTATCGTAAGAATCATGTCCGCCATGTTTATTCCAGTTTCCCCAATCGTCGTTGAAATGTTTATGACCGCCACCTTGATTTCCATGTCCGTCGTGACTTTTCGACCAGTGTGATTTACTGAAATCAAAATGGCCGCCTCCTCCACCTCCTCCACCGCCACCGTGATGTCCTCCGCCACCGTGGTGTCCTCCATAACCGGATTCGGATGCTACCAAATCACTACCAACAGCAAGAAGATCGGTTGCTTCATTTGCAGTCTTCTCTTCAGCAGACGAAAGAGTTATGCAAATTGCGAGCAGGAAACAAGTTCCCGAAATTGTCTGAAATATACGATTTTTTGTATAAATTAAATTATACGTCAATTGTTAAGCTCTACAAAGAATGTTCTTTTGTTCATTTACACATTAAATACACTAAAATATATATTACATGAGCCTAAGAAATATGATTTTACTCTCAATTAGGCTTTGTTTAATCGTATGCATTCATTTATATATTAAATTCTATTGTATAAAATGTATCTTTTTCTCTACTGATATATTCTAAGAAAGTGTAAAGCGGTATTGTAATTTACATAGAAACATATTATGTAAATGATTAAATTTTCTAACTTGAAATGATATAAAAGTTTGTACTTACCAATACTCTTTTCATATTGTAGATGTTAATCCTACAATGCTTTTCGGATTTGTGATGTGAAGCACACGTTTTCGCATCCTTAAATACGAAATCGGAAATTTTAGAGGGATTAGTCAATCAATGAAAAGTAAAAAATAAAAAAAAGTGAAGTTTTCAGTTCGCTAATACAGTCACGCCTTAATAAGTGACTTTTATCTCTTTATCTTTTATTGGGTAGTTCTATGAGTTTTGATAGAAGAAATTTGCCGTAGTCATTCAGCGTAACAAAACGAAACTATTTGTAGAAAAATGTAATATATCAGAGATAATTCTTTTTAATAGATGTCAGTGCCTATCTCGGCTGTTTAGGTGTCAGTTTTAATCACTTATTAACATACATTTTACGAAAAAGCATCGTAGGCAGGTACCATTCATAGTTTAATATATCTACTTACTGAATACGTTCTACTTCAGCATTATTCTAGTTTAAATTCTGTATTAGATAATTCTTAGTGTTCTTCTGTCTTAAAATTTTTTTATTTGCAATAGGAACGATAGACCACCGCTTTATGATTGATATTTAGCAGAACCCTATTTTAATGATCTCATTCATTTTCGAAAAATCGTCTGCTACATTATAATGCATAACATTATGAAAGCATTTTTTGTATACTTATGTGCATATTTTACACTATTTTATATTTTCTTACATTAAACCAATGTTTGCTTTTTTATATTTAAAGAATATTATATTTAAAATATTTTATTGTGATAAATAGTCGCATTATATGATTTATTCTAGGTACGATGGCGAGCACTTTTATCGTAAGAATCATGTCCGCCATGTTTATTCCAGTTTCCCCAATCGTCGTTGAAATGTTTATGACCGGCACCTTGACTAATACTAACAAATAGTGAATTACATCCTTTAAAAGTTAGATTTTGTTTATTACTATCTACAATTTTATCATAACAATTACAGAGAAATATATACAGTATTATATTACATTTATATGTAATATAAAGAATTTCATAATATATATGTTCAAACATATATAGATATTTATATATGTATGAAATAAGTATACGTACAGTACACGCATAAGTATGTACACATACTGTACGTACAGTACATACATAAGTATATAAGTACAGTATATACATATATACGCACATATACAGGATCTGGAACATAGGAGTTATATTAATTTTTGTTTATTCTTTATTGGGACCCATAACTTTTTGCTGACTGCGGGTCTTAGTATCAAAATAACATGAATTCGTTGCTTTTTACTGAGCACCATTCTTTACCTGTAAAAAAATAAACAAAGATTAATATAACTCCTATGATTCCAGACTTAGGGAGCACTATATAGTTCGAAAACTTTTCTTATACAATATAATTTATATATTTATAGCTTTAGACTTTATAAACTTTACCAAAATTTATTTTTTTAATTTAACAATTTCTAATAAAATCATTTATATAAATTATGAGTGAATCAGCCTATGTTACACAGAATAATTCAATAATTAAAGAATTTAAGTAAATATATTAACTCGTTGTAATGTTTTATTTTGAAATTTTAATTGGCATAATCGAAGTGGTTGATATATTTGAAATATATTAACATTAATAAATATACATTTTAAATTATATAATAAAATATATAATCTTAATTTAAAAATTAATTTTTAATAAATTGTATTATTACTTGTATCAAATTACNTCGTTTAATTTTTTTTTTTACATAAAACAATTAAATTTAAATAATCTTGATTACTTTGTTTTTTATTTGGTAAATATGTTAAGCCAATATAGACTTAATTTTTTAAAATTTATTAAACAATCAAAATTAAATAAAAATATTCAATAATCACAATATTCTTCATATAATTAAATAGCAGTAAAAAAAAGAGCAATAATGAGGTTTCTATATATTTGACGTATAATATATATAATTATACGAGGGGTGTTCAAAAAGTATCGGACCTTTATTTTTCCCGCGTAAACCAATGATGAATGGGAAGTCTCTTTTGGTGGAATTGTGGAGGGGACAGTCATACACAGTCCTGAATTTTTTCCCGCCTGCAGGAAGCGTCAGTTGCTGGCAGTCGGCCTATGAGTAAGGACGTGTAGTGAGCGCTCGTCGGATTCCACTAAGTTGGAAAATGACTGAATAACGTGAGCAGCGATATTGCATCAAATCTTGCCAAAAGCTTCGCGATACCCAAGCGGAAACCATTCGCAAGATTCAGCAGGCTTTCGGGGACGATCCTCCAGGCCAAAAAAAGCGCGGCAGGTCCGCAGCAATGTCAAGGTCATGTTGACAGTTTTTTTCTACTCCCGTTGGGTGGTATATCTTGAGTACGCACCACAAGGTCAAACTATCGCAAAGGAGTATTACCAGGAGGTCCTTCGCAAAGGTCCTTTCGCAAACTATCGCAAAGGAGTATTACCAGGAGGTCCTTCGTCGTCTTTGTGATGCTGTGCGACGCAAACGACCGGATCTGTGGTCAATGAAAACTTGGCAGCTCCATCATGATAACGCACCCGCCCATTCTGCGCATCTAATTCGGACTTTCGTTGCCAAACACAACATTCCTGTGGTTCGTCACGCTCCGTACTCTCCCGACATGGCTCCGTGTGACTTTTGGCTATTTCCCAAGCTGAAAATGCCGCTAAAAGAAACTCGATTTTTTAGTCAAGAGAAGACATCGTGAGGAATGCGACGGACCGGCTGATGGCCATTCCAAAAGATGCGTTTCAGCAGTGTTTCCAGCAATGGCAGGAGCGCTGGGAGAAGTGTATACATTACCAAGGAGACTACTTTGAAGGGGATTAGGGTTTTGTACCTCAAAATCAATAAATATATTTTTGCCGACCAAAGGTCCGATACTTTTTAAACACCCCTCGTATATTGTATTTCAAATATATATTAATGAGAAACAATATATACCGTCCTAATGGGAAGGAGCTAGAGACTTCTCCCCGGCCCGAAGAGAACTTACGGGCCCATAGTAATTCTTATCCTTATAAATTAATGTTATTTTTGCCAACAAAAACTAAAATTATTTAAGACTGCTTTTCATTAATAAAAAACACTATATTGTATTTTTTATTTAAAAAAATATAGTAACGCGTTGCCTAACTTTCCCGGCGAAAAATATTTATGTTTAAGAAACACTAACACACTTCAGTACGAATTTAAAATTATTTGACGCCATCTGTTACGAGATTTTATTTTTAAAACATGTTATATTATTAATTATTATAAATTAGTAAAAAGATTAATTACGAGGATAAAGATAAGTTTTATAAAAAAAAAAAAAAATTTAAATGCCATTAACGAGTAAAATCGTCATCAAGTCCAACTCTACTCGAGATATGACACATCATTTCCTCTATCTCTTGCCTTCTTGACTTATAACCGATATTAAACNCTGTTAGTGGGCCGTTTGGTTGGCGACACACTGCACTACAGCGCTCTATGTAGCAATGCAACACTGATCGTGATGGCGTACACAAAACTAACTTGTTCAATATATTATTTAATTTTTTTTTTTAAACTTTGCGTCAACTTTACAAAATAAAGGACAAAATGCCTATTTTAGAAAATAAATAAAGTTAAAGGACAGAGCAGTGAAATAAAGGACTGTCCTATTAAATAAAGGACGTATGGTCACTGTATGTATAATGGGCATCGATGCCCATTATACACAAGCTACCATGCCAAATTTCGTTTCTTAATTTTGTGATATCCTGAGATATACTCTATCCTGTGATATTAAACAAAACACACGCATGGAATTCCCCTACCCATGCCTTTGACTGTTTTGGGTTCAGGGTCTTAAAACGTCGAGATTTGCAAAATAAAGATAAAATAAAATATAAGATAATTAAAGATACAGTATATATTTTTAAAAATAAATATAAGTTGAATTTTAAAATTCTTATTACTAATAATTACTAATGAATATGCAATTAATGCATACAGTAATATATAAAAATATTTTAAATGAATTTATTTCGGAGCCATTCTTTCAAAATTTAAAATGAATATCGTGTTTATAAAATATTAAATATAAGTTCTATTAGCTATTTCTATTAAGAAAATCTTAAGAAAAAAATATAAATTTCACTGTCTATAATTTATTTTAATACAGAATCACCAGAAGTTATTTTACTTAAAGTTTATTCATGATTTTTTATATACAAGGTATGTAATTTATTAGTAAAATAGCATAACTAATTAACAGATAATAAAGAAATATTTAGTAGATAGAATAATGAGCAATTTTTAACATAAATTGCAATTACTTTAATATAAAAATCACAGAAATTAGCTTAAATTTTGTAATTTTTCAACTTCTTAAATGTTATGAAATATAATTAACTTATAAGAATATTTCTTAAAAA